TTTTTTATGACTCGCCATCCTTGGCACACCATCGCTTACTTCGCTTCACATGTCGCTGGCTGTCATTGTGCTACTTAATATATGATTTTAACGGGTACATAATCATGCAAAATAACCGATGCCAGTAGCTAAGCAATTCCAAATCGCAGCATTTCCTTCCATAGCCGTTCCTGTTTTCTTATGGAGATTTTGAAATCTAGCGTATTTCTTTCAAAGTGACAGTTCTTTTTATTTTCATTATAATAAGTTTACCTTCTCTAACCATGGCTGCGAGGCTGATATCCCAGGCTACTGTTTTTAACCCTTGTTTTGTCTCTTTTACTAGTCTAGCACCTTAGGATTTTTCTGACTAATTACAGGTATAATTATACTGTAAGTACCCCTTGTGGACACTCTCGTTCCAGCAAAAGAATGATTTTTTTCCACTTCACCTTATACTGGGGGTGCCCAATTGATGCCCTATGGGTACACGCAGTTTGTGAGTGGTTAACATGTGGCCTCCAGGCTCCCACCCAGCCACCAATGGCCCTATTGCTCCATCTGCAGCAGCAGCCGGGGTCTTGGGGCCATCCCTGCCCCCAGCTTCCCCTGCATGCCCCCACCATAGGGGACAGGACAGTCCAACATGGCACCACCCATGGTATTGGCAGCCCAGAGAGCCCATGTGGTGCGGTGTCACAGGGAAGCCCGCAGGGAGCTGAAGGAGAGGTGGGTGACATGCAGGGACGCATGTGAAATGCTTCCCTGCATATGCGCTGTGAAGCGCAAAGGGGAGCACCCTTCTGTGTGCACACATCAGGCATGCAGCCCAAGGAACCATGACCTCTGCTAGGGCTGCCCCACCAGGTACGTGACCCATGGGATATGCGGCCGCTTTGACATTGGATAAACTACCAGCTCCTCAGTTTAGGCTGTGGACATGTGGCACAGTTACACCAGTGTAACTTCCTTTGGCTTGAAAGGTGGATGTAAATGATATGGGGATGCAGAGGGGACAGACAAGCAGAGATTTCGTGGCGTCTGTTCACAGGAGACCTTATACAGCCTTGTGAGTAGAGGGGGAGTTGGGAACAGCCCGTTTGCATTGAACAAACACCCGTCTCAAGATAAATACAAATACACAGCACTTACGCTGGTATAACATAGATTCATAGATGTTAGGGTCGGAAGGGACCTCAATAGATCATCAAGTCCGACCCCCTGCATAGGCAGGAAAGAGTGCTGGGTTCAGATGCCCCCAGCCAGATGCCCATCCAACCTCCTCTTGAAGACCCCCAGGGTAGGGGAGAGCACCACCTCCCTTAGGAGCCCATTTCAGACCTTGGCCACTCTAACTGTGAAGAAGTTCCTCCTAAAGTCCAGTCTAAATCTGCTCTCTGCTAGCTTATGGCCATTATTTCTTGTAACCCCCAGGAGTGCCTTGGTGAGTAGAGCCCCACCTATTCCCTTCTACGCCCCCATGATGAATGTATAGGCAGCCACGAGGTTGCCTTCTCTTGCGGAGGCTGAAGAGGTCCAGGTGTCCTAGTCTCTCCTCATAGGGCTTGGCCTGCAAGTCTTTAACAATACGAGTGGCCCTCCTCTGGACCCTCTCGATGCTGTCCACATCCCTCTTGAAGTGAGGCGCCCAAAACTGGACACAGTACTCCAGCAGCGGTCTGACCAGCACCCGATACAGGGGAAGTATCACCTCCTTGGATCTACCCCCATAGCCACTCGGGGGGCTGTACTATCTTATTAAAATTTCCTTCCTAAGGCAAATGTCTACTGTAGTTTTTGCTAAATCTCTTATGTATATTAGCAAGAGTTAGAGATATATTAATCCATTTCACGGGGCAGCAGGGGCCTGGGAGCTTCCCATTTGCGGGAAATTAAAACAAACGAAAAAAGCACGTTTGGTTCAATTCAAGCAGACACCAAATTAAAAAAAATAAATAAAGACCATGAACCTAGGGGCCCTGTTCTTTGAATGATATCCCAAAATGCCAGTAGTTCATGTCTTCACAGAGGCTATAGAGCATATGAGCACTGTATAACATAGTCTAATGCTTTCTTTTGGCAACAGGTCAGGTATGGCACATGGATGTCTACACTTGGCCCACGCTCCAAAACTGAGAATACTTCACGTAAACCACACAGCTAGCAAAATGCCTTGCCTTGCCCCCTGGAGACACGTTTTCTGCATCCTCTCAGACTCCTGATAATTCCTATGACATGAGGACACCCTTGCACACCTGTGTTGCCCGCCTATACATCTCAGCCCACAACTGATCCCTTAAGGTTTGCAGGCACCTTTTCTTGTATCTTGTATGTTGTTGTATCGCAAACCTGACCCTGCTAGTCAGCTCTGTGCCTAAACCTAGTGAGCGCTCTCACACACCGCTACTGCAGCTGTTCCCCGAGGACCGAGAGCCATCGACTGCCATTGCCTGCGGCAACAGACAATGGTGAATTCAGCTGCAAGAAAAGCAGCAGCTCTGCTAGGGCGGCGCAGAGTCCCCGGGAGGCAACCGAATTGAGGGTGCCATCTCTTCGTGCCCATTTTTTACAGCTGCAAGCTGCTCCCGGAGGGCTACTGTCAGGCCCTTGGGGCAGAGTTAATATGAATTCAATTCCAAAGTGACATCGCCAGCAAAAAGGAGGTGGGGAAAGGCAGCAGCTTTTGACAGGGTGACCACCCTCCCTCAGCCTTTCTAATCTCCGGACCAAGGGATGGGAAGTGGAACAGCAGTAAATCCTGACAGAGGAATCAGCATCTGTCAGAATGTGTTAAACCTTGACCAATGCTGGGGGGAAGGGGATGGGAAGGCAAGTGAAACAAGGAGACCACCTGCTGCCAGAACGTGCTCATTTTTGAGCAGGGACTGGAGCAGAGTCCCTGTGTCAGGACTGCCAGCCCCCGCTCCTGCCCATGGAGAGGCAGCGAATCCTGATTAATGCTGATGAATTCTCCATCATCATATCCCATTCATCCCTGGAGCACGGGCTGGGAAAGGTGGCAAATTCTGATCCAAGAGACCACCATCCATCTGAATTTGCTACCCGGGGGGTGGGTAAGTGGAGGTGGTGAAAGATGAGGGATACCAAATTGTGACAGGGCATCAAATAAGCACAGTGGCTATTAGTGGCAGCAAAGAATGGGACAGCTTTCCGTGCCCACTGATGCGAGTTTGAAAAATAACCATAAGAGGATGTGCTCGAGCCAAGCAACCTAAGTAGAGATGGGAGATGGTCAGCAATTCTGTCTTCACAGCAGACCCAGCCATCAGATTTTTTTTTGCATGTGACATTTGGAAGTCTGTCTTGATGGCAATTTCATTTGCTGAGTTATGATGCATTTATTTAAAAAAAACCACAGCTGTTTAGCACACAAAATTATTCATCTCTTCCTCCCTGGTTTATAAAAAAAATGCCTCCAGGAGCAAGCGTGTGCCAAGGCAGAAACTCATCTGTCATTAAGTTGCTGCTTGCCAGATAATAGCTACCCATTATAGCGAAAATTTGTAAAGATCGCTGCCAATGGAACACTACAGCACTCTGCAGTGGCACTTCTAAGAAGAAATCCTTCTCACTTTAAATTCATTTTTCACTAATGGATGAGTTATAATACACGCTAAAAGCCCTGGACCGGCTGTCACTGAAACAACAACAAAGTTCCCCATTGCCTTGAACAGGAGGGGGCTACAGGCCGACACTCATTTAAGTTGCAAGCCAATGCCTCCAGTTCCCTGGGCATCCCGCTTATCTGAGCAGGACTGTTCACCAAGGTAAGGGAGGGAGAATTTGGCCCAAAATCAGTATCAGAAAAAGGTATTAGTTGCATTCATTTAGGCTAGGCTTACTCAGGTTATCAGGCTCATAAAACCCCTTTGGTATGTGGCACAATCATTGAAATATGAGCAATTTAAGGTTACTATAGTAACTTGAATATTTATCTAACTGGTTAGTTGACTGTTTAACTCTGATGTTACCTCAGCATAATGCTCTGAAGTCCGTGCATTTTCCTGTGTGCAATAAAACAGACTTCTCAGTGCATATCCAATGATGTAAGGACAGTAAGGATTTTCCAGCTTACAAGGGTCATGATCGTGCAGTATACATTCAGTGGAATATTGTGCAAGTGAAGTTGCTTTAAGGAACTTGAGCAATTGTTACACATAATCATAGAAAAATCAGGCTTGCAAGGAACCACAGGAGTTCATTTAGTCCAGCTGCATAGAATAGTTCTGATATAGACCTGCCAACTTTCAAAAGACATTAACCTCCAAAAATTGCAACAAAGGGTTTCTGTTATAAGTTATCCTCCAGGTATCCTCCAGGAAGAGCTCTATGAGAGTTAGTTGCAAAAAAATTAATGATGCTGTTGGGTTGTCCTGCATATCAAGCATATATAACAAATGATGATTGTATGATATCCCACAGAGCAAACAACCTTAATGGCTATAATGGGTAGGGATACAAATTACATGTGAACTGGTATAAATGATCAGAAATGAGTTCAAATCTATAACACAAAAGAAGTTCAGCACATATAAACTGCTTTCAAAATGGCCCAAACCAGTTTAAGATAAACCTGGATGGATGTAGTATCAGACTTCACTGATTTAGGTTAAAGCTGTTGCATGAACTTCTGTCCCACGTCCTCTCCAGATTCAAGTTAACTCACGGTCTCCTAGCATCCCAGGATACTTTGCACCTCCCCTGCAAACCCTCCCTTGCAGGGTGGGCAGGCTAGTCTTGGCCCAAGCTGTCCGGTCCAGCCGAGCAGGGAGTCATGCTCTAGTGTCCCCCAGCTTCTGGCCTGGGCCACTGCAGGCATTTCCAGAATCAAAAATGAATGTCTGTTCATTTGCGTATCAGTTCAATCTACACAGTTTAGACTAATCTGGGACAACTGAATCGATTCAGCTTTTTTAGTGTCTTTACTTAACCAAAGAAATGTAGTGTAACTGCATTAACCCTTCCAAATTTCATTTCTCAGCTCTCATGGATGACGTTACCTGTTGAACATCCTGCTGGAAAACACAGAGCTGCAGCCTTTGATGCAACCGGACCTTTCTGTGCTGCCAGATGCTTTCTAGGCGCCGCTGGTGATGCAAGACTTCATGTACTACATCCAAAACTTGGTGGACTGCTTTGGAATAGTTTGCCGTGGCAGTGAGGGATTCAGAGTTCCCAGGGCTCAAGGGACGCTGCAGGACATCCAGCAAGGCCTTCCCATCTTGGCTTACCTGAAAGGTAAAGAATGAGTCTCAAGGGGGCCACTTCACTGGTGCTAATAAGATTGACTTTAACACCTGAAAGCTGTAGCATGAATAACCTCATCTAGCAGATTCTTCCTTCCCCCGCCCAGCTATTCCCAATTCAGGGACTGCATTTCTATTAGAGTGAAAAGGAAAAGAGAGACTTTAAACAATTTCCATTTGATTTTTACTTAAGCATGCATCACTTGGCCTACTTTCAGGAGCCGGCCTACAGTACTTCTCAGCAGGAGCTCAAGCACTGGAGCACGGGGGTTATATAAGGATGGAGATGCCTAGATCAGTGCAACACCCTGCACTGATGTTTGGCTTCTGAAAAATTCACCGCCATGTGGTGGTGTATGATGTGTAGCATTTAGAGGCAGGAGACATATTCTGGTGAGGAGGTGGCACTTTCTAAATTGCAGGGATGACTAAGACATTTATATTTTATATGGTAAAGGAAAGCCCTTTCTGGTGACCTTTTAAATCATGAATGCAAATTCCAAAAGGTGAAATTCGTGTTCTCTCTCATTCAGTAGGATGGACAAAAAATAAAATAGAATATGGCAGTGTGTCTTTTTCCTTCCAGGAACAATACAGAGAGAGCTATAGATCTACCTTTTCAATTGCCCTGGGAAACACACGTGCAAATGTTGAGAGCAAAACCACTGGTGTGTTTGTACATGCTAGAAGATATTTTATACATGTCAAAGGGCTTTGTGCGTGCAAAAAAGTGTACCCAAAGTATTTATTCTGTTCAGAAACCCAATAAAAAACTACAGCCATAAAATGCAAACTGTAATTGAACATTCGCCTTGAATTTAACAAGTGTGAGTGTTGGTATCTTTTGAGCGGCCTTGCGAATTAGGGGACATGAGACTGGGGCCATAACCATAGCTGGAACCTGCCCACTAACCTGAAGCTCACTCCTTCCACTCATTGAGCTCCTTCTGTGCTGCTGTTTGGGGCCTTAGGTTTCACAATTGGTCTGATTCTGCTTTACACCTGGAGAGGATCCAGGCCTCATTAACACCAGCAGAATCAGGGCTAACTAAAAGGCCTCGAGAACCTGTTCTGCATCTTCTGTTAGAGCACTCTATCAAATATGACACTTGTTCGGTTCACTTTTACATGTCATGGAAACACGGCATGACAGTATTGCTGGGCGTGTTTTACTCTGGAGAATTTCCCTGGACACCTGTTAGGACTCCTGGCTAGCCGCAGTGTTAGCCCCACTCAGATTCTCCAACTCTGTCCCCAGCAGGGGCTTTACCGCTTGTTTCCCCTGTCCTAGGGCAGAACGCTGCAATCCCACGTGGAGAAGGAGTCTTGGGGAAAGACACCCTGCCTACTAACTGTGATTGCTCAGTGTGCCCAATGTGATTCATCTGCTCTGCAAGATACACCTTGAAGAACTGTATCTGGAGT